AAAAGAAAGGTCTGTGTCTGTTTAAATTAAATACCTGATTAAGTAGTTTCTTAAATCTGGRTATTAGTACTTAATACATTTAATTTCCTTGGACTTTCTGAAAAATATATAAAGCAATTATCCCCAGGCTCAAACRTTTTTTCATTTAATATTATATGCTAGAAGCACACACTTCAAGTAAGGTCTGTAGGTCTGCTCCTTTGTAAAACAAAAGGAGGAGAGAACATATAAAATGTTTATTTTTCCATTTGTAATCCATTACTTCTATATGCAATTTATAATTTTAAATATTCCATACATGGGAAAAGAATTGTTTGGATTGCCATTTGTATTGAGTAAGTTTTATATAGAGGGAGAAAAGTGGGTTGATGACYGAGACTCAGAGATAAGAATCAATAGATAATGAATACAATTGCAGTAATTGTAATTCCCATTGAGCATCCAGGTCAGGTCCTAGGTAACCTACTATGCAAAATTTCTTCATCCTTTTCCAAAAGGCAAAGGAGACAGCTTTTGTTCTATACAGTAAGCCCTCTTCAGCATGCCATCTAAAAGCCTCTCCTGAGGGAGAAATCCTTGCCCTGTTCCCTTCACAGCTGACAGGATTTCAGTCTTTATATTTGGATTCAAAGCAGTGGGGAATTGCATAAAGAAAAYGTTACATGCAGGGCATCCTCATTTGTTAATCCCATTGAGCTGTTGGCTTGTGAAACAGCTGTTTCTGGCGATACTGCTCCATCTTCCAATGGCCTCCTTTTTGTTGGCTTTTCCAGAACACTGAGGAGAGCAGTTCTMATTTCCTTCTGTTGTTTTTGGATGTGGAAAAAGGCTCTAAAATGTGAACTGAAAACGTTTTACTATCCAAAAATAAATCTACATTATACACTTTTATCTTTTCCATTAGATACTAGACTCAGCTCATCTTTCAGCAGTCATGAGACTGAGATCTTGACCTCTTCCACACTGATGGTATTATGTAAAATCTGGAAATAATATTTTTTCTTATTGAAGGTGATTGGTACAAGTGGGAAGATTTTAGAATTAAGGCTCATTGGAACAAGTCATTTTGAGGCAAATTCTCCTTTTTTTGAGAGACTCCTAATTAAGGTAAAATAGCTTTCTCCCTGCAATATTGTTGCTGAAGCAGGAAGTGCTTGCTCACTGCAGGTGAGCTCTGTGTTGAGTTAGTGCAAGAGACACATTTCTACTGCAATATTGGGGAAATATCCAGGGACAGATATATAACAGCAGTGCTTGTGTGTGGCCAAAACATGTGTCCCCATGGGCTGGACACTGTGCAGCTCCTGGGCAGTGGGACTGACCTGAACAGAAAACTCCTGTCAGTGGAAAAATCTCTCTGCCAGTGGACAGTGGGTGCTGTGGATTGCAGCTGGTGGGAGGGAAGCTGCACGGTGCAATGTAAACTCTGTGGCACAGCCCAGGGAGAGCAGGATCATGGGAATATGGA